AACTGACTTGGGTTAACCGACCTAAAACTCGCTACAGGGGTCATCTTAGTCGCCTAATGAAGAAGAACCTGCACTTAAGATGAAAAATTAATGAGCTAGAGAAATGAGAAAAAATATGATGAGCTGAAATACTTTGAAAAATTGAAAAACAAATAAGCTCGTAATAAGGGGGACGATCAATTTCCCTTTTGATTTGGGAGTATTGACTACAACCCTAATTCTGAGTTTCATGTTACTCATGCGTAAGTAAAAATAATAAGTATAGGTTCTATTACGCGTTTTATGGTTTGACTCTTATTAGTAGGAGAACATACTTATTAGCAGTGATTGGTATGTCCCTTCTCACAAAATTAAGGTTTGAAGTCCTGCTTGCATTAGATCAGTGAAACTTTACACACGTGAGTCACTTATATTATTACTTCATTTTGGACTGAACTAAGTATGTGGGGAGTTATACTACTTGTTGATTTTGCTTTTGCATATTATCAATTGCATTTTTAATTATTATGTATTATTGCTCGACTTGGCCTTAATGTATGTCCCTTCAGCATTTGTGATAAAAAGGGGGAGAGAAATATGTAACTGAGGGGAAGAAAAAAATAAAGATTGAGCATACATATAGGAGAGTGACTGCATATGCATGCACATGACGTCATTGATTGTTATCACTTGCATTGCATTGCTATGTCTAGGGGTCGTTGTGGGGAGACATAAATATATTTACCTACTGCATAAAAATATGAAAGTTTGCAGTAAGGGGGCGTTGCATCGCATTCCATATCACATCCATCTGTTTGAGTTTTGATGTTTAGTGATATTGGTGTTTTGATTGGCATTAATATCAAGTCTCAAACTGTAATGTTGATTTGTAATTAAGAGCTTTAATTAATTTTTATATTTCCTGTATCACGTGCTTTTACACTGTGTACATGAGTTTGTGGATTTCAGAAAACAGGTACATGAAAAAATGTGAGACTCAGTAATTGGGTTTAATGGGTAGTTTAGTTTTGGTTGTCAAGTCCTGACTTATATTTTATTGTCCTGATTTCATTTGTAGAGTTTTGTCACATAATGCCAAAGGGGGAGTTTGTTAGGTTTAATGGTGTAATTGGCGATTCTGTGGACAAAAGGACTAAATTGTAAATTTATAAAAGTTAGGGACTCAATTGTACAATGTTATAGAAGTCAGGGACTTAGGGTGCAATTTAGCAAAGCTAGATGGTAGGGACTAGGGTTTGAGCGTTTGGTTCAAATCAAGGTCGTAGCACCGAAAGTTCGCTAGCTGTTCGTCCTACCACCGCTCGAGCGAGAGAAAGCAGAATGGTCGTCGCTCGATGTTCGCTTGAGCGACGGTGTTATTAAGGATGTCAACGAACCGAGTTGAGCTGGCTCGCGAGCCGAAACTCAAGGCTCGGGCTCGGCTCCAGTAAAATGTGCGGGCTTTTTTCTTGGCCCAAGCCGAGCCGAGACAAGCAAAAGCTCAGCCAAAAATTAGGCTCGACTCGAACTTTCGGCTCGGGCCTTTTCGAGCCGAACCGGGCCAGCTCGCTTTTTACACTTTTTTTTTTAATAATTAGGCAGCCAGCTTTTAAGGCAACTTTTTGGGAGTTCTATTTTCTTTTTCTTTTTAAATAAGGCCTGCGAGCTAGCTCGGGCTTGGCCTGTTCTCCCTGAATGGAGCTCGGCCCGAGGCGAGCCATGGGTGGTCCGAGCCGACGAGCAGAAACGTCATCCCTAGATGCTATATTCTGGAAAGTTTGATACGACCTAGGACCCCTAATTGTCCCCAACTATAAATACAAAGGTCGTGAACGTGAAAGAGATTTTATTATATTGTGCTTTACATAAATATCATCGTCAATATTCTTTCAAGTGATCCAAGGCAGAACTGAACAAGGAATTCATCCATAAACACATTGTGATTCGAGCAATCCATTGCTGGGAAAAACATCACTATTTGTGAAGACAAAACACTTGGACTTCTTCATCTGTTGAGGAAGAGACTTTCTCATTGGGAGATTGAAAGAGCTGGACGACAAGCGCAAGAACTGAACAAGAACAGGAGGTCCTTGGAATTTCACTTAGTGATACAATCAGCTAGAGACCAGGTTGCTATATTAAACAGCAGATTGGGCTGCAAGAGGTAGATCGGGAAGCTAGCAGAAGACTAGCAGTATCGACGGCGGTAGATCGTGAGACTGGAACAGCGGGTTTGACTTGGTACGGAGTTTGGCATAACTTGTACTGGCTGGATTGGTATAGTGGAAATTACTGGCTTGGTCCCAGAGTTTCACCCACGTTGGGGTTTCTCCGTCATCATATTGTGAGTTGGTGTTGTTACTGTTTTATTTACCTTACACAAATCGACAATTCAACATAGGCTTAATTGGACGTGTATGTTTAATCACCTAGACAACAATTAATTTGTGACTTATTACAATTAATTGTATTAATTCTGCACGTAAGGTCAAACGGTAAATTGAAACGTAAACTTGGTAACTCTAAAATTTGAATTTGATATAGTAAAACATTCCCGTGAATTTCCAAGTCGTTGTAGAATGTTCCCTGAACTTTCAATTATCATTTCCTCTTACCAATTAATTTCTAGATTAACTCTAATTGATAGAGTAATACTATTTGATAAGTATATTTTGTACACTTATCTAGGCCAATAAATTAAAATATTTATTAATGATTTGAACGAGTTATAGCTTAATTGTGTGTTGTGTTAATTATGTTTCTTAGGTTGATTCAATGCAAATTGGTGGAATTGAAATAAAGGAACGAAAAAGGGTAAAAACAAAAGAAATTCAAAGTTCGAGGACCAAAGTGTACACATTTAGTAGTTGATTTGAAACACTAAATGATGATTGAAGATCACATACTGGATGCGATTTGGAGGTCAAAGAAGTGAAATAGAGTTTCAACGAAAGAAGTTATGTTCCAAATTTTTAACCTCAACTTCAGACCCATTTTTCAAATAGAAAAGTTCAAATTGGAAATATTGTATTTCTAGAAGAATTGTAGCTCTTTAAGTTACATTTCCAACGCACTTTGAATCACCTCAATCAGATGCTAGGAGATAAAGTTATGACAAAAATATTGAAAGTTGCGCAGAGAACATAACACGTAAAACGACACGTGCGAGATCACAAATTTCATGACCCGAGAGCCATATGGTTCAATGGCACACATGGTGGGCCTACCTGTGCAGCGCACATGCTTTTTCCATAGACGAATCAACAATTTCCTTTAATGATTCAAACTCTTTTGGATCCTAATTGGACGTAATTTTAACCTATTTTCTTGCTCTTGTAGATAGAAAACAAGGGTTGACATATCCGTTCGAATATGAAGGTATCTATATTTGATGAACCAACCTCCAAGGCATTAAAATAGTGGCACATAGCTGCGAAAAAAAGCAAGGAGGGAAAGGAGGAAGATCCCCAAGAATGTTGGGTAGTGGAAGTCCAACTTCTTCAATGGGTTCACCTGGACCTACACTTCATCGTCTCGAAACTACAATTTTCCCAAGATATGAGGAATACGAAGGATCATCGGACCTTGAGGCGGACCGCGGACCCATGTATGGAAAAAACTTCTAGTTGCATAGTAAGAGTTGAACATGATTGTCGCAGAAATCCCTCAAGAAATTTTTAATTTTGGACTCAAAAAAAACCAAATGAACACCACTCAATCTCAGCTCAACCCAAAACTTTACCTTTACTTTTGGTTGCTCCAAGTTCTCTCAAATCACACAAAGAGGAATGGATGGTGGTGGTACTTGCAAGAATAGTAAGAATAAGCAACAATGGTGAAAATCTCTTTCACCCTTTCTCCCCCAAGCCGGTTGCCCTCCCTTTCTCTCGTTTTCTCTCTTGCATTACACACACACCCACAGAAGACGGTTACAATGGTAGAGGATATATAGATTGAATATTAGGTCACTTAATTTGGGCCAACAATAAGGTAAATGAGCTACAATAAACTAAAGACTTAACCAACAAATGAGCTACTTAAAAAATAAACGCAAACTTAATAATAATTGAGCCAAGACTCACATACCTATCAACAACAAATTCAACTCCAACTTGAGTCATCCGAAAGTATAGGTCGTTTTCGAGTCGAGCCAAGTTTATGGTGTCGATAAATTATCCACCAACTGTTTTAAATTATCGTCCGAATTTATTAGATATCAAAACCCAACAACGATGGTACATAAAATCACAGGAATATACTCAAAATGGAGAAGAAAGTAAAAATGAAGATTTCTCATTTGACAAGCCCGCCCTCCTTCACTGAAGATGAACAAAATTGTACAAGTACCCTAATTGACACTTTATATTTCGTTTGCTTACTTTGTGGACAGTTGATATACAAGTACTCAATGGATCTTTCTTAATACTCGAGGTGAAACTTGAGTTGAGAAACAATCGGTATTAATATTATTGTCTTCTATCGTAGATTAGAAACTGAAAGGAGAATCATCAAGTGTTAAAGCGATCACGTTCTGTTCGCGCTATGTAAATGTTCGACCATTTCATTAGAAAAGAGATTGTTTTCTTGCATTTGTCAATGTATAGTTAGTTCCTAGTGATTTCTATAACCTCTCATCTCCGTCGAGGAAAAATAAAAAATCTCCATTTCCTTCTCTATCCATCAAAATGATAAAAGGGTAGAATTATGTCGTCTAAAGTATATATTGTTAAAGAGGAATAAGTAATTCAATGCTAAAGTGATAAAACGTTACTCAGTTTGATACATTGCCATCTGTGCGCAAGCTAATAATTAATTGAGCTATGACTTACAAATTTTGGGAGTAAAAGGCTGGAAGGGTGAATATTGCGTTAGTTATTCATATCTTGATATCTTGATACCAAACATAGGCTGGGCTTTAAGCATCCAGAAGCAGATTTTGGCTAATTAAACGATTTTGCATTCTTAGCTTGAATAATGAAATTACTCTGAAAATATTTATTTAAAGTTGACAAGGACGAATGGAAACAGAATCTGCAAACGACCTCAAATACAATATAAACATTATATTCACGTACGCCATTCTCATGAGCCTATTCTATCATTTCATTTAGTATTTAAAAGCCAAAATTCGGAAAACACTAAAGCTAGCATAACTCCGTAAATTGTCGAGCTGTAAATCAAAAATGACCAAATGTATTCAACGCTGACGTAGTAAGATAATACAATATCCCACTTTAGAAGTCCTATTGTCCTATATTGTTATCTTTCATCACAAATTGCCTTACCATATTTATGCAGCATTCTGTAGAACATGGAAGACTGACCAGCTGATGACTTACTACTCGCACTTGATCGAGCGGTATATATGACGGACAAAGAAGAGCGCTGCACGAAAACCAACTGCACCAAGCATGAGAAAGAAGCCATAGCAAATGCAAGCCATGTATCCGAAGAAGAATGAGGTTTGCATGAAGCCTGACATATCAGATCGTGCATAATAGTAATACAGGCAGTAGCCATAGATGAATAGCCCAGTTGATCCACCGCAGAGGAAAGACCTGTATAATATTAACATTAAAATAGGAATCGTTATTGCTCTAAGAAGTGAATGCACAAATAAGTACAGGTAAATCGTACTTCATCAAGAGATGCGGTAAGATAACTAAACACTGATAAATTGCAAAAATTTCAAGTTCAAAATAATTCTATTGTAATTCACAAGGCCTAACACGAAAATTTCAATTGGTCCAATTCTGCTTTGCATGGTAATCTTTGCAAGTTATAGAACAGATCGGAGTTAAATACTTATAAGAAATAAAAGTCATAACACTAACATCAAACTACTGATGAATGTGTTCTCAACAAAAGGTCCACCCACTAATTTTTAAGTATTGAGCTTATGTAATGAAAATGACAAAAGCCTATCATTAGAAGCATATTTAATAGGAAAAGCAAAAAAAAGACAAAATTATGAAAAAGATAGTACCTCCACCACCACTCATGGTCTTCGGCAGCAAGCTGGAAGTACGTCAAAGCCACGGTAATAAAAGCAGTAACAATCAAGAGGATGATGAAGACTATAAATAAGATACTGTAAATGGTATAGATCCTGTGGCCCCACACACTGGCAAATATGTAGTAAAGCTCAATATATATGGCGCTGAAAGGCAGGAATCCAGCCATTGCCATCTGAGGAAGAGTTCCACGATACCAAGGTAGCGGTGGGATCTCTCGTGGGTATTTTGTGGTACGAACAGGAGCTTGAAACTCTGCTCTGCTGTTTTTCCCTGCGATCCCACCCAAAACTAGCAAAGGTGATGTAACAAGGGCCCATATAAGAAAGATGACCACAATAGTACCAAATGGCAATGCTGCAGTTGCACTGTAAGCAATGGCAACAGTATTAAGGAAGCTAAATGTAAGAAGCAGCGGACCGCAAAACAGACTTCCAGTCAACAATAAATTTCTGACCTGTAGAATGAAATATTAAAGATCAGAAATGCAATAATTTACCTGGTATGCAAGTAGGTAACCCTAAGTTTTAACTATCTATCTTTGTATTATTGTATAAATACAATTAAGTAACATCCATCACAAGAAAATGAAATAAAAAGCCAGGATAAGAAAATCTGCTCAAAGGAGAATCTCTATCAGTGCTACAGTTGCCTTGAACAGTGAATTCTGTTAGGGGAAAGAGCAAGTTTTTAAGGTCACAAACCTCACAAAATAATGATATCACAAGGTTACCTTTATGATCAAGTTTCTGTATGAATATCAGATGAATAAATATATACGTTTCGCTTTTCGACTGAACCGAATCTCCAATTAACTCCATCCCGTGAAATATCGTATTTTTTTAAATTCCAGAACTTTCCAAAATTGCATTTCCCATTATATTGATTTCACCACCACATTAAATAAGCTACTTTAATTTCATGACCCAATTCAAAAATGATCCACCATCTTTCCAAAACAAATCAAAGAAAAAAATAATTAGCCAACTGGCTCAGATAGTGCATCACAGGATAATTCAGAGGGAATAAAAAATCTCAAGTATACAAGCTCACAAAGAAACTACCAAACCATTATTACATAATATTGGTGGTGCCAAGTGAGAAGACTCTTTCACAATTCATGTCAAATTTGTTAACTCATACATTTTACAAATGTTATGAAAAGGGACCAGACCGGCGATTTGACCGGAAAAACAGGGAACCGGACAGATAACCGGTCCAGTTGATGCTAATAGCCCACATGAATAAAACCCGGCCAAAAAAAAAAAAGGAAAACCGGACAGGAAACCATAGACCGGTGACCTGATTGCGATTTTGCCCGGTTTTTCGATTGCTTTTGAGAAGTAAAAAAATAAAAATTTAAGAAGAATCAGATCTTTCATCTAACTACCAACTTCTTCCATTTACCTTAAGCTATCTGATGCATTATATGGTGCCCAAAAATCTGCAAAGAAATACAAGAAAAGGAATGAAAAGGAACTTGTAAAAATTCTCTGCGCCGTTGAGCTCTCAAAGTTGTTCGTAGGAAGGATATGGATTATTTTCTTTATTTGGGCCCCTTTAGTTCTATTTTGTATGTAGCCCATATAGTTTTTATTTTATGTTTAGTTGCATCTGGGTCCCTTTAATATTAACTTGATGTGAAATGAGCATTAAAATTATTATTAAAAGTTAAATAATGAATATTAAAAATACTCTTTACTTAATATAAAATATTAATAGGATACATATCAATATATGAAGTTTTTAAATTAATTATATTATTTTCGGTTCGACCCTCTAACACTTGACCCCCTCACTTTTCCAGGTCAATCTCCGGGTCGATTTTCAAAACATTCCACTTTACAAAACAATCAAATTAAGATAAATTTTGAAAATTAAATTTTCCCTCAATAGTTGAATGGGTCCAATTCACTATATTTGCCAAGAGCTCTTTTTTCCTCGAGAAAACGAAAATAATATCACATGTTCCTCCTCCTTTTTTTTCCCTAGCGGAGGGGGTATGGATACATATTATTAACATTGGAATAATTGCATTATAAATCAATTGCTAGACAGAAAGCACAAAGTATTTAGGAGAGGTAACAAAAGCAAAGCATACCCAGTTAGTTCCTTCTAGTTGGCAATAAAAAGAGGATGCAGTATAGCCAGCAATCCCAGATGTAAGAGCATAAATGACAACCAGTGCAGTGAACAGAGCTCCACGGTTGTATGGATAAAATACACCAACGAGTGCAAGGATGAAAATAAAGATCGTGCTGTGGAGGTAAAGCATAATTCATATTAGCAGATTTTCCACAATTAATAATGAGAAACTTGGTTGATTGAGTTAATGCTTAGTAGACATGGAGCTCAAAGATATACTCACAGTGTAAACAACTGGGTTCCAGAACCAAGGGCAGCCGCAAACAAAGATTTGTACTTTGGATACCTGAATACATCACCATGAATATACTTCCACCCAGTTTCCTCTTGATCATCAGCTGTCTCCTCATCATGAGCATACCTTTCCACAAACAAGATGATAAATTGTTAACATAACAGAAGGTTTCAAGTGAAACATCAGGCAAAAAAATAAGAATGTACTCACTTGACAAAATCATTTTTGAGGACCCGCATAAGAATAGTGGCCAGGAAACCAGTTAAGAGGAGAACTGTCACACATGAGTTGATTATTGAGAACCAATGGATTTCCAAGTGATGAGGTAGTGAAGAAGACTGTGAATACTTCTCCATTCTCTTCTCAAAAGGAGTATTTGTTTCCTTCCATTTTACTGAGTACATGAACTCTACTTCAACTTCCTTATCCTCCGAGAGGTCTACAAGGGCATTAGGGTCAGTTCGTGCATTAATCTCAATAACTCGATCTTTATTGTAAAAGATCTCGAAATGGAGATGTTTGAATAGATAATATTTATACTCGCTGGGATCGGATTTTCCTTCCTTCTCAACTTTCCCCAAGAATCCCCAAATCGGCAAGTCGTCATAATACATTTGGAAATAGTAATCTTTTAAGACAGCAGTTCGGAACTGTCCTACTTCTTCCTTGGATAATATCTTTTTGCAAACAATTTCAGAGTCTTTATCTTGCAGAAAGTCTAGTTTATAAGGAGCACTGACGAGACGATCTCCATTCAACACTTCCCCAAGAGCTTCCTTCTTTTCTTTTGGATGAGCTGGCAAGGACATTCCATAAATTACTTCAAATTAGCACGAGAGAATTATGTTCCATTTTTTTTTTTTTTTGGGACAAGTGCATCTTGTAAATCAAGAAGAGAAGCAATATAAAAAGATGCGAACCTGGGGAACAGAAGGGAAGATCAAAGAAGCGGTATGTTTCACTGGCATTGATAAAAGAAACAAATTGCCATTAGCTTGTCATAATAAAACTTGTATTTCTATTTGTAAGTGCATGTGTGTGTGTGTGTCATTATTGCCATTCAACTTCATATAAAAAAGAAAATTCATCACGCTTATGGCACTTGGATTCATAGCCAAGCTCGTGTTTCGTTTTTCCTTGCATGATAAATGACCTCTTGCATAGAATTCCAGGAAACATGTTTACTCTTTTTATCACAATGTACATTCAGTGCTTTGAAGACCATTTTAGGTTAGGTATATTGAGCAGATATACATCAAAAATTTCAATCACGCAAAATTATTTGCAAGACCTTCAGATAATCACTTGGGATGTTTCATAAAAACCAGGCTGCAAATCCACTTTCTCAGGTGAAATAAGAATGCTTCCTTACGCTGATTGAGAAATGGTTGGATTTCTGGTGAAATTTGGTTCTTAAAAATTAGTTGGTAGAAGCAGAGTTACTATTTTTCCCTTTTGTCACATAAAGGAGTTTCCATTTCAAAAACTTCTCTCGGTAATAGCACAGTTCTTCATTCCTTGACTTCACCGTGTAGATTTACATATAATACACGACACATAACAAATTGAACAATTTACTTATGATCATACGCAGCTACGTGTAAAAGCATGTACACTTCATACACAGCTAAGTGTTAATTTATGCACCCCTCATAAAAATAGATATTTTAATTACACAACTTATCTATTTTTCTACTTCAAATATCCTTTTATTCATTATTATTCACAGGTAATTTCACATAATCATCGATCCATATACAGTTGAAAAGCAAAACAGCTCACAAAACCATTTCATATTTTAATCATAACAAGAAGTGGCCAATCAAAGGAAGAAGTCAACAGGCTCAATTTATTTGTTCACATATTAACATCATCCAATCCGACCAAAAGATGGAGTTTAATGATTAAATCCACTCTAAAATTTCTTAAAATGACTACACCCATATTCTTCTTCAAATTCAAATTACAATTCCACCCATGAGAGGTGTCTAGGATCTTAATGTTTCTGCACTCACTCTCTCAAGAGTACACCGTCCGTCTCTCCATTGCAAAAATTGCATTTTTATAGCTTATAAACAAAATAGTTACAGCCAATTTCATTTTAATCGATTCTACTCTTATAATTTCCTTCCACACTCAAAGTCAAACCCTTCGAAATTCTCGAGTCCAATTGCTCTAATTTTCCTAAAGCTGGCACATAAAATATTTACAAATTTACAAATACTACCCGTACATCTAGATAAATATATATAAATGTAAATGAGGGGTCATTTGACGCAAAGTATTTTACCTAGGGTTATGAAAAGGCCCAACTTTATTCGCGTAAAGAGGCACCGGATCTCCGACTTTGTATTTGTGATCTGATCCGTCCGATCTCACCTGAATTGAGGTACACAATACGATCAAAACGACGGCGAACAATCCACCTCCCATCATCTTCTTCGCTTCCACTTTTTCTGCTATTTTTCACACACAGACTGAAAGTTATGGAGTTATATTGCAATACAATTATGTATACATGAAGATACAGAGAGAGAGAGAGAGAGCACAGATCTCGATCTCCCGGAGATATAACTCAGATGGGATTTTACACTTCTCGTTGAGAGGCCACGGGATTAAAAAGAGAGAATTACAGTTGAGGGTCTCAAACATATTGAAAATGCAGCAAGTAGGTCATCATTCTATTATTTTATTCACTGCAAATGTTAGCCTTCTTTTTTAACAGTCAAATCCCCGATAGAAAATTTTGGACCATAATATATTTGACCAAAACCTCAAATTGGATTCAATTGAGTCAATTGTATCTTTCTTCATCTTGCCAGCAATTTGTAGCAAGACATATAAATATAAGTTTATCTTTGCATTTAAATAAAAAGAAAACTTAAAATTTTTATTAAAAATAATTTTAGCCCCTCCTTGATTAGAATCTTGTCAATCGTATATTTCATCATTTTTTTTTTAAGATTTACTAAACATGGGCTTAATTTTCCTCGACTAAGTAGAAAGGAAAAGAAACAAAATCCATTGAGTCTTGTTTTGATATTTATTTGTTTTAATTAAGCCGTAATTTGCTCTTATTATTTCATGTTATAATTTTTCTCTCTTATTTTCAATAACACAATCTTTCATAAACTAATATTACACGAAAATAAATTTTTTTCTTCTTTTTCAACTATATATTCTCCAGATAAATACTATTCCAAAAATTATGATATCAAATAATGGGGACCAAATAGGAGCTAATAATTAGAGTAAAATTATATTTTTCAGCAAGACGTTTAGCTTTTAACTAAAAAATAGTAAAATCAATGGAGCTCAAATGTTATAAAAATGAAAGCTGGGGATTGAGGTTTGTAAAAAGATTAAATAGGAGACCTATATGCTTTATTTTCAATAAATCAGGGACCTCATGGGTAGTTTTCTGGATTAAAAAGGTACGGCACACCACGCGCGTTTTGCAGAGAGTGGCTTAGAAATGACGAATGGGCTTGTCAACGGACCAAGATGTAAGCATTTGAACTGATATGAAAGGCCGATTAGGTGCTGCCCGATTCCTTTTTAGGCCCACCTCGAGCCTTAACAGTTCTAACTTTAGGATATGTTTGGAAAACATTAGGCCCTGTTTCGTAATGATTTTGAGAATTAATTTTTTGACCGTTAGGAGAAAAGTGGAGACCACCTGTTAGAGAAGAAATCAAAAATTACGAATGGAATAATTCAATAACGATCAAAAAATTAATTTTTTTAGGATGAAAAATCACTCTCAAATGGGGCCTAAATTATTTATAAATTTTGATTGAAGTCAAACTTTAATTTTAACCACATTCATGATTACTATTCAATTATTTATCCCCGTGTTTTAAAATTGAAAATTGAAAATTGTTGTCATCTACCTCTTTGTAAACTATTTTTTGGAAAGAAAATGGGAAAACTTTAGCAGCCGGTCTCTAACTTTTTCATTTTTTGTAGACTTTACCTTAACTTTTATTTTGTGTCAGCGAAGGCCCCTAATCTTTCATAAATATACACCTAAGGTCCATTTGGACGAAAATCGTCTAAAATACCATCAGTTGACTGGGGAAATTTCTCGAACTATTTGTTATCGCGACAATTTTATTAGATGTTGATGCATTTTTGGACGGTGTTTTGGACAGTTTTATTGGATGTTGATTCTTTAATTTTTCAAGCCAACTGATGATGTTTTAAACGATTTCCGTATAGACGGACCTCAAGTGCATATTTATGAAATGTTAGAAACCTTTATTGACACAAAATTAAGGTTAAAGTAACGTTTGTAAAAATATGAAAAAATTAGGGATCGCTACTGCAATTTTCCCAAAGGAAAATGCTATATTCTTTTGTTGAGAAGTGTAGTTTGAGGGGGAAAAAAAAAGCAAAAACTAAAATGTTACTTCAAGGTTCTTTCATCCAGTTGAATATTATATTAATATCCGAATCTGACTAGAATCCAACACGTCAATATATCTCCACCCTCTCTCATCCACATGTAATGCACACGTCAGAGGTAATCAAAAATATAATTTGATTTGTTCCACAAAAGCGTAACTAATCAATTTAATATTGATTAATCACCGATTCTCGACAGCTTGAATGGAAGGATCATATAGAAATTTTATCTTCCTTCTCATATTTTTGGAATTTCACATCACTATAGGGAGAATACTTCAGTGAAACCCAATCTTTCCCTTGATGTAAATCCTTTCAACACCAGACTGGCCTTTACATCTGGGCTTGACTGTGAACCACCACCTGCAACCAACAACCTGGGCAATGTTCTCTAATTATTGTTGACTTGTTGGTTGCTTGATATGGTTGGGATTCACCTATTAATATATGTGCAGCAACTGTAAGGGCGAAATGAACCGCGTTATAAGCCCCACATGGTTGGTGGCCTCTTTTCTCGCCTTTGTTTATTCATATCGAGGGCATAGTTCTTGAGTTTTGACATTTGTTTCTGTTGGTTACGAGTCGAGCCCCATATACGAGTATTTCCAACTTATTTTTCTCCTGATTAGGCTCAATATCCTTCCTCAAGCTCACAAGATCCTCAGTAACCTGATAGTTTCATTTGCATCAGTTTAGGGTTTGTTTACCACACAGTTCATTCCAGAAACTGAAGTGCCAGTAAATGTAACAATTCTGCTAATTAAGATCATGGGCAGCCCTTATTCAAGGTTCCACAACTTGTATCGTGTGACACCTAGTGGATACACAAGAAGATGAACTTTTTGGCTCTTGGCTCAAACTTTCCCATATTCAAGTGTACACAGTAATATTCCTAAATACCCTAATATTGCTTAAGATTTGAGGGATGCACAAATAGCAGAGGAGGGACATCTGTTAACGACATATATGGGCTGCTGTTACCAAAGCATCTCCCCAAAATGGCTTTAACAACTTGGCATTTTATTGGATGCACCTCTCTCAATGAGAGTTCTTTCATCATCTCAGGAAATATGTCACATCAAATCAAATGGTAGGATGCATTTTGTTGAATTCAACATATCCAACAGTTAAACACTGATAAAATCAGAATCAATAATTCCAGAATACCAACAACTAAATAATACCTACATAGGGTAAAAGAGAAAATTGATTTTGAAATTTACAAGCTGCAAAAAAGGGACATAGGATACTTGAATGGGATCGAGTATCACGACAGCATATTAACAATTCTACCTATGCAAGCATCTGAGGATGGTGACAAATCGGTGTATAAAATACTTGCAACCTCTTTAAAACACAATACAATGAGAATGAACTAGTCACACACACAAAGACCTTCAGTTGAGCTCAGAGACATGCTTATCTAAAAATGCATGAGCAAGATTACTGAAGCTCACACTAACTGTGCTAGATGCAGCATACCGTTTGATGACATCCACTACTTCGGGTTTCAAAATCTCTTCCTTGTTCAATTCATTGCAAAGATAGTAAAGTGCACCAAGAGCATAATTTACCTACAAATGAAGATTCAGACTACTGAGATAAGTACAGAACTACATGGAGAATGCTTACAGCCCCTTGGTAAGTCAAAAGGATCTATAAAACAGCAGTTAAAATTCATTTAACTCTATAAATAACCTAAAATTTCCAATCTATGCAAACCTCAAACCAACAGGAATTTTGTCAATAATTAGTGTCAAGGTATCCATTTGCAACTTAAAAACAAATTCACTATGCAAAGATCCAACCATTCAGCAGGCTGATACACAACATATAGTTGATTGGAAGCAGATTACCATGCATGCACTATGACCCATTGCAAAAATTTACAAAAGGTATGAAAATAAATATCAAATGCATATTTGTGTAAACAATAGTTGATTCAATAAAAACAATCAGTGAATGCCTAGTTTTGTCCTTACAGTATTTCTAACTGGACTAGATAAACATTGGATGACAAGAGGGATCCCTCCAGACTGAGTAACAACTGCAGCATTTGCTGGATCTACATCCACGAAACACAATGGTTACAAAGACGGAATAGTGTTACACGACTTGATATGCAATTGCAATATCTATAAAGAATTTTCAAACCAAGATATGCTTCCTTATAGTTCTTTTTTAATGCCAAGAGTTTAATGATCTTACCAGCGCAGGAATTGCAGATGCCGCCAATGCCAAACTCTACAAGCCTCTCATTGGGCTCTGTCATGCAGTCAAGAAAAAGTTCTAAAATATTTAGCTGTTAAAGATCAAAAAACCATTAAACGAGGCCCAGAGCAGGAAAGAAATCATGATAACGAAACTTAAATGCCCAGGTGAATATTCTAAACCTGGCGTAAAAAGGTGTAATTGAAAGGATCATAAGCAAAATTTGCTAAATTGGCAACAATCTTCTCTTTTGATTCTGCATGAAAAAGAATTAATTAGCATTTAAATAGCCAAAGATTGTATCATAGTAAAGAAGAGAACATTATACTTTAGCCACTCCCACATAATTTAATACTGAACTACATAAGGAATCCAATTACATGAGCTGATTACCCATTTGGTTTTGACAACCCTCATAGTGGAAAACAGTAAGTAAAGCAATGAATGGGGTGTGGGAGAGCAAGGGATCACATGAAATCTACATAATCATATTCGATCGTATTTGTCAAGAAATGCACTCTGTGCTTTTCCAAGTTATACATCCTAACCCCAAAACATGAGAGCGAAACTAACATCTCCACTTGGATTCTATTTCCTATGCAATAAATCTTCCACATCAATGACAAATTTTCATAATCAATCCCAGGCAATCTAATTTATTGAGCTGGGTTACGAATACAATCGAGAATTCAAATATCAAATAACAAAGAGATTTTGCACATAACTCGTGCTTTGCAATTAAAATAAGCTAGCATCTAAGTGATTTTGTTACTTTTTCAAATTATTGAAAGCTTACTGGAAACTACACGCCATAAAGCAATCGCAGTGGACTGCCAATCTCTTGCTTCGGTATTCTTAAATATTAGAAGGATGCTAGTAAATCAAAGATTTGCAGCACCATGTTCATAATTAATCAAGTTGAACCTACTACACAACTTTCTATACTCCCAAACTCCTATACTACGAACCGAAAAAGAAAAGAAAAAATGGAAGCAGAACAATTCGAAAAAGGTTATAAAAAATTACTTGAATGAGATTTCATAATACGTACCTTCATTAGATGCATTCTGAAATTGAGAGACCAATTCCTAAAAACCAAAGGAAGGATTTTCCTTGAAGTGATATAAAAATTATGCAAAATACATTTGAAGTAAATGGACAAACATTTATGTAATTAGAGATAAAAAAATAAATAAATAAAGCGCAATGGCATGGTTTAACCTGAAGATATTGCACTCTGGGAGTTCCATATTTCCCCGTGCGCTCTTCTTGTCTCCGAGCATTGGTGAACATGTTAGCTGCAGGAGAAAATGAAGAAAGAATGATAAAAATTTCATGCCAACAAGTGTCACGGGAAAATTTTATAGACATGGCATTTCCAACAAAGCTTCTTTTATATCAGAGAACAGAACATTTGAATAGCGAGATCACACTTTGAAGGTTAAATAAGATATTCAAACTAACATGGAGGGATCATTTGTCTTATGTTTCCTTTTATTATCTTTCTATTTAACTTTAATTCCAGAAGCTCTTAACTATTCTTTCTATGTAACCTTTTGTAATTTCAAATCTTCATTCTCAAATTCAAAATTTCCATCATCTTAAAGGTTCTTATACGATCAATCCTCAAGATACTATAATCTAATTTATCATTCTATTTTTCCCTAAGGACATTTTCTTTCCATAAACGTAAGTAGCAAAATGATGTTAATACAGGTAAGAAGAGTTTGCATCGATTTCATAAAAAGCCCTTCACGAATACTGCTTTTCAAGTTTATTTCTGAAATGAATTATTGGATGACTCACTTACTGGTTGTGACCCATTGACGACAAGATTTAAATAAATATGCACGGTGTCTCTAACTGCTTGAAATAGTTAGATACAGAGCTAACATGGCCGCTCATAAATACACCCAGTCCATACTAAAGGATTCTTTTGAAATAACATTTAAGTGAATGTAGAAAGTTCATCTCAAGCTGACGCTTTTAGATAAGGCCGTTAACAAAGAATCGGTGAAAACAAGGAGGTTAACATCTACATCTCGCTAAGACATTTTATCAAACAAATTGTATTCTTCCTATCAAGTGGGTACCATAATGGGATTGCTTATTGTCTTTCTTTGAAGAAGTGGGACATCTGTAGGAGGGTCCTCCAGATAGTTTCCTGTGTTAAGAGTGTTTGAATTTGAGTTAGAGGGGTAAGCGTATGAACCACTGGGAAGAGGTTCGAGCGATAGTATGAACCCCACGGGAAGAGGTTTTGAGTGATATTGAACCCTTTGGCAGGAGCTCAAGCACAGCAACGAGGAGCAAGCTAGCCCCCAACCCTAAGGCGGTTGTTGTTTTAGGGGCTAGTGATCTTTGGTCTGAGTGGTAGTCAACAAGCACAGCTATAGCTCCTCTCTGGTAGGTTCTCGAGCATAGTGACAAGGAACAAGCTAGACTCGATCACGGGCCGGTTGTTGATGCTATCGAAACAAGGGGCTAGCGATTATTGGTCTCAACAAGCACAGCAATGAGCTCCCCTTTGGTAGGAGTCCAAGAGTAGCACAAGGAGCAAGCTAGCCCCCAATCCCAAGTCGATTGTCATTGCTATCGAAACAAGGGAGTAGAGATCCTTGGTCCATTGACCCGTGACGTATGCTTCGTTTTATCTACCTCCAGACTCAACATTCGTAAGACCTATAGGTATAGGCCCCTTGTGATAAGGAATAGGCTAGGAAAGAAAGAAGAGTATGACATGACAGCACCCAAAGTTATACAACATCAAAAGATAATCCATTCCAATTATGGTGATTGATAAAACAAAATGTCCTGGACATTATAATCAACAAAAAGTGTCACCTATAGAAAGCTCAGCAACTTATGGAAATGGAAAAAGTCTAGTAAATGTACACAATATTGTACCTCAATTCATTGATTTTAAATTTGACAAACCAACAAATGAACCAATTAGAGGAGGAATTTGCCCTACGTTGGTGTTAATGGGTTTTCACCAGTGGCTAAACTTAATCTTTTAGTATTAAACATTAATATTTTACCAACTCAATCTATTAATTAAAAAACCCTAAACGGCTAACCCTAAACCATTATCTAAATTGTACTCATTGTCATGAGTCAAGATCCATACTTAAATTTACAGATTCAGCAACATTCAAATATGAAATGCAACATTTTAATTTCACCTACATTTTAGAATAAATTCAATAAAAAAGCACATCTAAATAAAAAAAGAAAAAGAAAAAATGAAGGCAGTGCTCCTAGAGTCGCTGGCTAAATAAAAAAAACACCCTGAAATTTAAACAAAAAACAAAACAATATACATTAACGGATTTACCTAAATTCCGTAGGAGTCGACGGCTAGAACTATAAGTTCGAAGAAGGGAAGTCGCCGGCTGTATCTGGAAGTGGAAGAGGATAAAAATAGATACAGTTCGAGGAGAAGGTCGCGGGGGAAGATGTGGAGGGCGGGCGTGGGGGGTGGGGTAGTTGAGGTTAATGTGAACAAGAAATCGCATGCATATTACAAATTTGCACTTCTTGTTTTGCCTTTATGAAATCAATCTACCCTATTTTATTTTATTTTAGCATAAAATTCTCAATCTTATGTAGAAAATTTTGAAATTCCTTCATTTTAGACCATTAAGCCCCTGTGTTTGCCCCATTAAAGTTATAATTCATTGGATTATTCTATTTATACAAAATCATGTACAACATGGCCAAGTGACAACCACCCCATGTTGTACACCAAGTTATACTTCTAGCATTTTCCTAAATCATTTTTCTCTCACTTCTTATCAATTACATATTTTTTAATAAAATAATATTATACGTAATCCCAATTTTTTTTTATCTTTCTTAACTATGCATTATTCAAAAAATACTATTCCAATCTTTAAAATTTCATATAATGAGGGCCAAACGGGGTATAAATGACTGGTTCATCATTCACTTAAAATAAATAAAAATAAAAGAAATCAATAAAATGGAAAAAAGCAAATGAAGTCTAATAACTTTTCAGAACTATAAATCAAATAAAACATTAGATAAAGTCTCTTGACGTCACAACCACATAACCTAATAATCATCTAGACCCTACATGCGTTGGGACAAAAATCCGTCGAATGCCATAAAAATGAGAAAACAAGCAAGAAAGCAAAACATAA